AATTGAAAATGACTTGATAAATATTCATGATAATAGTTTAGAAGTAAAGTCTAAAAAGGAAGCTGGTCACGAGACTTACAATGCAGAAGATATAAAGCAAGGGATTGAAAGAGAAGTTGTAATGATGCAATACAGGCTCACGGAATATGCGGTCAGAATGAGAGGGTTACAGGAAAATAATAGAGATGATCTAAGAAAAATATCTGCTCAAGTTCTGGCTGGGATTTTAAAGGTTCATCCTGAGGAGGTATCTTGTAAGATTGACAAGGCCTATAGAGTAAATTCTTGGATTGCAAAGCAAAGGCAACTGCCTAGAGATGTGGTGATTTACTTCACAGATAAAGAAATAAGAAATGATATTGTGCAAAAATCCTTTAATTTTACCCCACAATTGTATGGAAGAAAGATCTGGATATATAAAGAATTGCCACCTAAGATGTTAAAAGAAAGAAATTTGGACTTTTGGTGACTGAGCTAAAAAAACAAAACATCTCATTCAGGTGGGACGTTCCAGTTGGTATAATATTGAGATATCAAGGAGAAAGATATCAGCTAAATACTGTTGAAAAAGCGGAAGAATTCTACTACAAGGTTCTCAAAAAGCGAAGTCAACAAGAGATAGAAATTCAAGATAAGCAGAAGGAGGTGGAAGTAATGAAGAAACAACAAGTTACAGAGGTTTCTGCAGATGAGCCGCTTCTGGATTCTCCCTCAGAGGTCTCAGCTGGACTATTTAATACAAGAGAAGCGGCATTGGATTCTAATGTAATGACTCATCAAGTTACAAACCAGCATGAAAATCAATCAGTTGATATACAATTCATAGAACCAGAATGGAGATTTAAGCCACAAAAGCAAAACCAACAAGATCAAGTTATAGATCAGCATGAAAATCAAATAGTTGATATACAATTTATAGAAAGGAAATCAGGGTGGAGATCCAACCCACAAAAAGTCAAAAAAAGAAGAAACAGGTCTCACAAAAACAAAAACTTTTAAACTAAACAACAGTGTAATGCCAGTTATTTAAGAGATGATTGAATATTTGAAAAGATAATCGGCAAAGTATTGGTTTATATTATCCTGAGGAGAGTGACAGATCTCTGCAGTGCTGTACTTTTGGGATGTGAAAAGGGCCTTCAACTGAACGGGGGTCTGAATTCTTATCAAGCGATTTCTCACACTGGTTGAAAACACGCGGGATACTACACTACACATCTTCTCCATTCTCCGCCTTCCAGAATGGCTTCGTAGAACGAAAAAATGGAACATTACAGACCATGATGAGGTGCGCACTAGAGGATGCAGGCTTAGGACAACACTTCTGGTCAGAAGCGCTTATTTATTCAAATTATACGCTAAACAGACTGTGGTCCAGCGTACTGAACAAAACTCCATATGAGTTGATGTACCAAAAAAAACCACAGGTGTCACACCTACATATATTTGGAGTCACAGCGGATGTACACATCCCCAGGCAATTACGACATAAGGGAGACAAAGTATCCAGGATATTGAGGTTTATGGGATACGAACCAGGGACAAAGGGGTTCAGGTTCATAGACAGCAACAACAGATTCGTAGTATCACGAACAGCTGTCTCCCACGAGAACGCCAACTGGTCCAAGATACACCTCAATGAGGTGTTCCTCAACAAGGATGGACCAAAAGACAGCCAGGGGGAGGCGGAACACAACATAGGAGAGATCATAGGGCAGGGGAAGGACAAACCCAAGAGACAGGGGATATAGGCCAAGGAGTGGAAGGAGAATCATCCCAGCATTAAGGTAGACTCGCTCACAGAGAAGGAGGCTAAGTACCTACATAACACCGAAACGTCACCTGCCAGACCAGTCAGAGCAAACAGGGGTAAGGCACCCAAAAAGTTAGATGATTATGTCTTATCTCTACACACTAACCAACTAACCCCCAAAACATATGAAGACGTGCTGAGGTTACCGGAGGGAGAGAGGGCAAAATGGGAACAGGCTATGGAGAAGGAGATGAGTAGCCTAAGGGAACTAAAGGTATACACCCCCTCCGAAGTCCCAAAAGACAAAACACCCATAGGCACCAGATGGGTCTACAAAATTAAGGCATTAGAGGGAAACAAAGTCCTTTATAAAGCCAGACTAGTGGCACAAGGGTTCACCCAGAAGTACCCAGAAGACTACACAGAGACATATTCCCCCACCGTCAGAGCCGAAAGTGTGAAATGCGCACTGGTGATCGCATCATTGCTTGGCCTAGAAGTACATCAGTTCGATGTACAAACTGCCTACCTACATGCTGAACTCGATAAGGAGATCTATGTAAGAGCGCCACCCAGCCAAAGTACCAAAAAGGGGGAAACCTGGATCCTAAACAGAAGTCTATACGGGCTAAAACAATCAGGAAAACGTTGGTACAAGTGCCTGTCCAAAACTTTGAAATCCATGGGGTTCTCAGCCACCTCAGCAGACAACTGCTTCTTCATTAAGAAGGTAGGCAACTCCACTGAATATGTTCTGATATATGTGGACGATATATTATACATCAGTGACCAGACCAGCAAATGCAATGATTTCGCTAACGAGTTAGGGAGACACTTCTCGCTAAAAATACTAGGTAAGATGGACAAATACCTAGGGGTACAGATCACAAAGACTGACAAAGGCTTCCATCTCTCACAAAAGGACAAAATATTGGAACTCTTGCAGAAATGCAACATGGCCAATGCCAAAACGTGTGAGACACCAATGCAGCCGGACTTCATAAAGGACATGTATAAGGAGGCTGAGGCATTCAAGGACAATACACTATATAGATCCACCATAAGCTCACTATTATACATTGCAAACTGGACAAGGCCCGACATCGCCCTGCCAGTTAACTTATTATCCTGTTACGTAGGTAACCCCACCGTGTACCATTGGGAAGCCATCAAGAGGATACTAAGATATCTAAAACATAGTGCTGATGCCTGCCTGTCCCTAGAACCCGAAACAGCCGCAAGACCCACACTCATTTGCTACGCCGACGCTGACTGGGCTGGAGATTTGAAAAGTAGGAAGAGCACCTCAGGCTACATATTCTTCCTAAACAACAGCCCAGTACATTGGTACACAGGCAAACAGAACCTGGTAGCCACATCCACGACAGAGGCCGAATACATATGCCTATCCAAAGCCGCCAATAACCTGGTCTGGTTTGATGACCTGCTCACAAATGTTTGGACTGAACCCACCTACCCAATCACTATCCACGAGGACAATAAGGCTGCAGTTGAAATATCGAAGGCTGAAGCAGTAGGCCAGAGGTCGAGGCATATCGATATAAAACACAACCATGTCAGGCAGTTTTCAAACATCGGGTTCATAAAGGTCATACACTGTGATACTGAAGAGCAGACAGCAGACATATTAACAAAACCCTTACAAAAGTAAGAGCCTTGGTACTACAGTGGTTTAAAGCACCCTGTTATTAACACAGCTGCCTGCAATTTACTGCTGGTTCGAATCTCTCCAAGGCTCAAGGTTGACTCAGCCTTCCATCCTTTCTAAGGTAGGTTAAATGAGGACCCAGTTTGTGGGGGCAATAAGCTGACTTTGTATAAATATACAAAAGGATGAAGGCTATTGCTGAGCACATTGTAAGCCGCCCTGAGTCTTCGGAGAAGGGCGGCATATAAATCAAATTAAAAAAAAAAAAATACCAAACAACACAGGTATCTAACATCCAAACTGGGCGTTCTCCCAAGAACAACCTCTCAGGTGCACACAATCCAAGGGCATCCAGGTCAGGCATTTAGAGGGGGTTTTGTCACAGATAAATGCCTGACCTTAGACCCAGGGCTGGAGGTAGGAGGGCTGGGCAAGCCGATCCCCAGGGTCCACCCTAACCCTTTGACCTCTCCTTACCTTAGCCACGCCCCGGGGGTACTTAAGGTCCAGCCATGTGGTCCAATTTCAGTTCCAGAGTTGTACCTAAAAGAATGAGATACCTGTGAATAAAGATTGCTGATTCAAAGAGTACCTGTGCAATGGAGTTATTGGGCTTGATCCTTGAACACCTATAACAGGATAACCCTTTGCAGTGCCAAGAATTTATGATTGACCCAAGTCAATAACATAATTTCATGGTTGAATAGATATCTTGGTACTCTTCCATGTGTCACATGAATCATAATTAATGTAAGAGATTATTCTAGCATTGTGGCATGTTTGCTTTTTTGTTGTAATGTATTTTTCTTTCACATCTTCTGTAACCATTTTATACACAATTAAAGTTACACTTTTCTTTGAAACTTATAGACAAAGAGGATGACAAAAAGAGCACTCTGGACAACTGAGAATAACAAGCAATGTTGAAAAGGAAATAAAATTGAGCCAGAAATCAAAATATATTCCAGTTCCTTCAGAAAACCACACAATTCTCCTTCTCCAGCAGCTAATAGACAACAGAGAGAAAATTAATATGAGATTTTGAGCTGGAAAAAGTAGAGGATACAAAACTCAAGGATACATTGCATGAAAGATCAAAGAACATTATTTTTCATTCAGAAAAAGATGGAAATATCTGGAAGTTAGGGGGAAGGAAAAGGTCTTATTGGGCAGGGCACATAGGACAGACAATGATACAGGCCTTGCTCTGGGAAGAAGCAAACGGCTTTAATGAAAACACCACTAAACAATAGATCACACATTTTTTTTTTTTTATTGAAAAGTTTTACAAAAAGTTTATATATTTCCCCCCCCTTCCCTACCTCAACCTCCCCCCTCCCCCCCTCCCCTTCCCAGAACAAATTACAGGGTATAAACTTCAACAATCATAATCAATCCTAATCTAAACAATTATGACATTTCACATCTCTTGTTTCTTCAATTCCCTAATTACCCGCCTAGCTTTATTACTTAAAGACACACTAAATATCTATATAATCATTCATAACCTATCTGCAATTTCTTATTCCGATATTTATTTTGAATATAATCTATCCACCTTCTCCAGTCTCTTAAATATCTTTCATTTGAATGATCCTTCAGGTACGCCGAGATTTTTGCCATTTCCGCTAGATTTATAACTTTCATTGTCCACTCTTGGATTGTAGGTAAACCTTGCTTCTTCCAATATTGTGCCACCAACAGTCTTGCTGCAGTTATTAAATTCAAAATCAATTTAGCTTTAATCAAAACACCATTAAACAATAGATCACACATATTTTTGACCTCAAGAATATCAGTTGTGGAAAAGCTCCATAGATCTGCCTATTGTAGAAAAAGCATAGATTGCAAATCATAGCTGATTAAACAAGAAGATTCCAACTGTAGAAAAGCCATACAAATTATCCGAATATGCCAAAAAGTTTGGTCAGAACAGCTTCCTTGTGGTTCATGGAACGACTCACACAGGAGAGAAGCCATACGAGTTCTCCCAACGTGAATACTTTACTGAGCACGGCAACATGGTGATAAATCACAGGACACCCATCACATAAGAGTGCCCAAATTGTGTGAAAGTTTCATTGGAAATTACCTCCTCATGAGACAACAAAGGACTCACACAGGAGAGAAACCCTTTCAATGTCCTGATTGTGGGAAAAGTTTCAGTCGCAATTCCAGCCTGGTGATACACCAGAGGACTCACACGGGAGAGAAACCATTTGAACGTCCTGATTGTGGGAAAAGGTTCATTAACAATTCATATCTGGTGTCACACCAGCGGACTCATACGGGAGAGAAACCATTTGAATGTCCTGATTGTTGGAAAAGGTTCAGTAACAATTCCAATCTGGTGTCACACCAGAAGACTCACACCGGAGAGAAACCAATTGAATGTCCTGATTGTGGGAAAAGTTTCCGTAACAATTCCAGCCTGGTGATACACCAAAGGACTCACACAGGAGAGAAACCATTTGAATGTCCTGATTGTGGGAAAAGGTTCAGTCACAATTCCAGCCTGGTGAAACACCAGAAGACTCACACAGGAGAGAAACCATTTGAATGTCCTGATTGTGGGAAAAGGTTCAGTAACAATTCCAGCCTGGTGACACACCAGAGGACTCACACAGGAGAGAAACCAATTGAATGTCCTGATTGTGGGAAAAGTTTCCGTAACAATTCCAGCCTGGTGAAACACCAGAAGACTCACACAGGAGAGAAACCATTTGAATGTCCTGATTGTGGGAAAAGGTTCAGTAACAATTCCAGCCTGGTGACACACCAGAGGACTCACACAGGAGAGAAACCATTTGAATGTCCTGATTGTGGGAAAAGGTTCAGTAACAATTCCAGCCTGGTGAAACACCAGAAGACTCACACAGGAGAGAAACCATTTGAATGTCCTGATTGTTGGAAAAGGTTCAGTAACAATTCCAATCTGGTGTCACACCAGAAGACTCACACCGGAGAGAAACCATTTGAATGTCCTGATTGTGGGAAAAGGTTCAGTAACAATTCCAGCCTGGTGACACACCAGAGGACTCACACAGGAGAGAAACCAATTGAATGTCCTGATTGTGGGAAAAGTTTTCGTAACAATTCCAGCCTGGTGAAACACCAGAAGACTCACACAGGAGAGAAACCATTTGAATGTCCTGATTGTGGGAAAAGGTTCAGTAACAATTCCAGCCTGGTGACACACCAGAGGACTCACACAGGAGAGAAACCATTTGAATGTCCTGATTGTGGGAAAAGGTTCAGTAACAATTCCAGCCTGGTGAAACACCAGAAGACTCACACAGGAGAGAAACCATTTGAATGTCCTGATTGTGGGAAAAGTTTCCGTAAAAATTCCAGCCTGGTGACACACCAGAGGACTCACACAGGAGAGAAACCATTTGAATGTCCTGATTGTGGGAAAAGTTTCCGTAAAAATTCCAGCCTGGTGTCACACCAGCGGACTCATACGGGAGAGAAACCATTTGAATGTCCTGATTGTTGGAAAAGGTTCAGTAACAATTCCAATCTGGTGTCACACCAGAAGACTCACACAGGAGAGAAACCATTTGAATGTCCTGATTGTGGGAAAAGGTTCAGTAACAATTCCAGCCTGGTGACACACCAGAGGACTCACACGGGAGAGAAACCATTTGAACGTCCTGATTGTGGGAAAAGGTTCATTAACAATTCCAATCTGGTGTCACACCAGAAGACTCACACCGGAGAGAAATCATTTGAATGTCCTGATTGTGGGAAAAGTTTCCTTTGGAATTCTGAGCTGGTGAGACACCAGAGGACTCACACAGGTGAGAAACCTTACGAGTGCCCAGACTGTGGGAAAGATTTCAGTACTAAGACTAGCCTTTTAAATCATGTGCTTATACGCACGGGAGAAACCATTTAAGTGCTCCAAGAGTGGATGGTGCTGCAGGAAACATTCCACCCTTATTGCACACAAGAAAATGCACATGGATTTTCCAAAGTGATGAGTAATGATCTAAAGCAGTGGTTCCCAAAGTTAGTGGTACCAAAGTGGTGGCAGTGGGATGACTTAGGGGGGCAGTAAGAGGCATGGGGGGCAGCAGGGGGGCGTTAAGTGGCAAGGAGGGTGGCCCCCACCTTTTGGCCTGTGCCTCGCAGCAGTTACCTCCTCGCAAGCACACAGCAAGAAAAAACAGCTGCTTTCAACTTCAGCATATTAATTGCATATTAATTGCATTAATAATTGCATATTATTAATTAGCACAAGTTGATTAGATTGGCCTCCCGATTCTCTCAGCTGTTTTGCGCAGGGCTCTGCTGCTTGCTTCAAAGAGTTGGAGCAGATTTTTTTCCCCTTGTGCTAATCAAGCTATGCTGAAAACAAAACAAAGTAAAGCAGGCTGTTTGCTGTTTGCTGCAAGGAAAAATGAGGCAGAGGCAGAGGGAGATTTCTTTTTCTTCTTTTTCCTCACTAAAACAGGTAGGTGCAAACAATGAGAAATTTAGGGCAAAAGAGGAGAGTTCAAGATTTTAAAACACAAAAGAAAAACAGGAGAAAGAAAAAGGCAAAAATAAAAATGGGAAGGGAGAAAAAGAAATGAAAGAGAAAGATGTTATACTTATTTAGAATTGAAATATGAATAGTAGTAAGAAATAAATGGGAAATCATGATTGTAAAAATGAAATGAATAAAAATTGGAATATTTGTCTTTGTATTTTTGAAATCTAGACGATAAATTTTTCTTTTTTTCTTTTTTTTAGAAATATGAATAAGTATAAACTGTAACAATTGAAATACCTTTAATGGTATATGGTGGTGAAAGTAAAAAGGATTAAGTTGTAGCTTGGATAACATTGTTCTATTTTTCATTTAACAGCATTTTCACATATAATTTCTACAACTAGCATCCTTCTCTTTATTAACAAATTAACGTTTTCACTGACTCTTAACCGTTTTCTATTAGTCTCTCCACAGTTCTCTTTCTTGATGTTTTCCTCCCTTTCTCACATTTCTTTGCCTTCTTCTTTTTCCTGTTCTTATATTTCCCCTTCAGCCTTTTTCCTTTAATTTTAACTCTATTACTTTTCATTCTCAATCTTATCCCATTTATTTCTCTTTTCTTCATATTTGAGATGTATTTTCCCATATCCATTTTTATTCTATCACTATTGAACCCAGTGTAATCATCTTTAACTTTTTTTCCCAATTATTTCCTTTTCAATATTATCTCGTTTCCCTTGCTTCTCATTCATCTTTTCTCTTTCTTTTTTTTGCAAGCTAACCAATTCTCTGCTTCTTTATTTCCCTTAAATGCCTCCCTTACTTTTTGAAACATCTCCCTTAATGTCTCATATTCAGCCTTTTTCTCCCTGGGTATCATTGAGATTTTCCACCCCAGAATTTCCCAGGCAGCATCTCTTCGGGATAAGAGCGCTCAGGCTATAGTTAGAGATTGTCGATCCTCATGGAAGAAGAAAACAAGAGGAAAGAGAAATAGTTTATCTTTTCCTAACAATTCATTGCACCAAGCATGTCTGCTCAGATTGTGAATGAGGCACGTAAATGGAAGAAACCATATGAATAGCAAATATATTGGGGGAGTTTGGGGCAGTGACAAAAGCAGTGTAAAATTTCAGGTGCAAAGGCTATTCTGCCTTGCGTGTGACCTTCATGGAGAAGAGCTGTAGGAATATTGAGTTGAGAAAAGGGATTGTGTTTTTGAGTACAGGATCTCCAGGTTCATTCCCAACTCCTGTTGTGATCTCCTTCGCTTGGAGGTTCCTTCTTGTTAGTCTTTGATGGCTGGGAGGTGTGAGCAGAACCAAGGGATTGATACCAGGGGTGGGTTCTAAATTTTTTTACTACCGGTTCTGCGGGCGTGGCTTGGAGGTCGTATGACTGGGTGGGCGTGTCTAGCTGGTCATGTGACTGGGTGGCCATGGCTATGTGTATAGGGACTACTCAGAGGGCTGAAAAAAGTCATTTGTGACAGGTCCTCGCACTTTTGACTGGTCCTCACACTTATGACCATCCTCACATTTATGCCCATGCAGCATTCTTAACAACCATGTCACTCATTTCACAACTGCTTCTCTACACCATGGTGATAAGATAGGGCAAAAAATGTAAAATGTAAGGACAGTCGTAAGTTTGAGGACTGGTCAAAAGTGCGAGGACCAGTCAAAAGTAACTTTTTCAGCCCTCTGAGTAGTCCACATGCACAAAAGGACTACCCAGAGTGTAGAGTGACCACACACACAAAGGTTGAGGATATATGTGGTAACTTTATTGTCTTACATACTGACATTATATAGTTTGTTACTACAAGTTACAGCAGTACTTGGCAGCATCTCATTGGCTCACAGAATCTTTTAGGTAACTAGAACCATTACTTATAATGTAATGTAGGGTTAACACACATCCCACTTCCTATCTTGTTCCTCTTGTTTATAGAGTTAGGGTCTAATGCCATTTCCTGGCGCCTACATGTGAGTAACCTTCCTTATCTGAGGTTTGCCATCCAAGATAAGGAAACATTCCTACACATAGCAGACTACAGGCTCCTATATGTCCTCTCTTTTTATTTAATTTTGAGGGAACAAAGATTTTTGTATGTATCGCAATTGATGAGGAGGCAGAGAGAGAGGAGCAGGACGAAACATAGTAATTAATGAGGAAATACACTGAATGAAACAACAGCAAGCAACTAACATGACAATAATAATTACAGCATAAAAAAACAACTGCTTAAGCCAGGACCAATCACGAAGCCAATTGGTCAACCAGTCAAAAGGAGAGGAAATAGCATGAACATTATTCTGAAAATATGATTGGAGTTTAGCAAGTTCATCTTCAATGGTTTTGTTGAAAGAGTGAAAATGAACAGCACATCCATGACGGCCAACAAGTTTACAAAAACCTCCTTGTCGTGCTAATGAATAGTCAATAGCAAAACGTTGCTGGAGCACATCCTGATTCAGGTCCTCAATTTCATGTTGGAGATCACGAACAATAGCAGCAGTGGCATTAATTGATTTCTCCAGGCGACATGTTAAGCCCAGGATAGAATGTCTATTTTCTTGAGCTATTATTCCAGGGTAAGCCCCTAAGGTGATCACCCCAGTAATAGCTCCAGCCACAGCACGGCCATAGGTATTTAGAGAGGACAGTTGTGTATCAATGATGACTTCATCAGTACATGTAGGACCTAATGGAGCACGGCGCCATCGTGAAGAAGAGGAGAGAGCACCAATCTGCACAGGTAGGGAAAAGTAGCCAGTAGCAGCACACTGATAGTTTTGAGGGTGTACGTTGGTTGCATATTTGTCAAAAAGAACCACATGTTAGGGAAGCGTTAAAAATAGGAAAATTATCAGGATACATTTCAGGCACAATATTAGGCCCATATAAAGAAGAATTAAAGGTTCCCCAGAGCCAATAATAGTCAGTACAATAACTATAATTCCCTACTTTCGATAAAATGCGTTGAGCCTTAGCATAATCATTCCAATTGTTAAGCCAAGTATGGTGAGCATAACAGCAAAAACATAAGCCTTTAGTAAATTGATTAGTACGAAGATAACGCCAACAAACAGAATTAAGTTGCATTGGCAGCTTAGAAAACAACCAAGAATAATGAATGGTTTGCAGCTGTGAAACAATAAAGGAAGAAGATATTAAATCAGGTATGAAAGCAACTTGACCCAAAGCCATAGGAGGCTCATAATACAGGGTGACATTAGTACCGTGAACCAAAAACATATATTGAGCATGACAAACCCAGAGATTAGGACTAAATTGTATAGGCTGAGTGTCATGCAAAGCAGTAACAGAACCAAGAAAAGACAAGAGAATACAAAATGGAATTGTAACAGAATTAGCTGTAATAATAGCAAAGACAGCAGCAACTAGATTTTCAGGAGTCTGAGGTAGGGCAGCATGAGCCAACTGTTGTTGAGCTTGGTATGTTGTGGCCTTCACTTGCCCCCATGTGATTGGTGGGGGTTGTTGCCACTCAGGATTAGGAGCAAGACAATACTTCACTAACGGCTTGTCAGTGGTTTTATTGCACGAAAATGAACATTAACAGGAACATCTGAAAAAGAATCTACAAGAGTTAAATAATTCCAGGTAAACAAAGCAACAGATAGTAAATGTTGAATCTTTTGCAAATGGTATGGACCAGACTCATGCTGTAGCTGTCTCTGCAAGAAGAAGTTCGATGGGCACGTTCCACAATAGCTTGTCCTTGAGAATTATAGGGAATGCCATGGACTAAGGTTATTTCCCATTGCTGACAGAAAAGACTAAAGTCTTTACTGATATATGCAGGACCATTGTCAGTTTTAATTTGAACAGGGCGGCCCATGATTGAAATAGCGGCTAAACAATGAGTGGCGACATCCTGAGCCCGCTCGTGACGGGATGCAGTAACCCAAAGAAAATGAGAATAGGTATCAATCATAACATGTAATTTATCATATGGCTTGAAAGAGGAAAATTGTGTTACATCCATTTGCCAAATTTGATTGGCAGAGGTACCCCTAGGGTTGACCCCACTAGGGAACGGAATGGCTGACTGTTGGCAGGAGGGACATGCTCGTATAATATCCCTGCGCCAAAGGAATATGAAACTGTTTTGCCAAAGATTTTGCATTTTGATGAAAATATGAATGACTGGTCACCGGATCAGAAAATAAAGAAGCAATTTCCTTAAGGGATTCATCTGCAATGCGGTTACCTTTGGTTAGGGCATTTTGGTAATGAATATAAAACTTCTCCAAGATAATTGGAGAAGGCAATCTGATAACTTTCAGATATCATCATAAGATGATCATGCTCAATCTTTGTACGGGTGAAGGCAATGCCTATCAAATCTTGTCCAATCAGTTGCAAAGCACGCTTTCAGCCTTTTATAATCAATTCTTCTAAAGCAAACTGGTAAGGATAAATGTTTCTAGGTGTCACTCAGGCACTCGTCACTTCCCGCCTGGACTACTGCAACGCTCTCTACATGGGGCTCCCCCTGGGGTGCACCCGGAGGCTCCAGCTGGTCAACGCGGCCGCGCGGGGGATTATGGGGGCGACGAGGCGCTCCCATGTGACACCTCTCCTGCGCGAGCTGCACTGGCTCCCGGTGGTCTTCCGGGTGCGCTTCAAGGGGTTGGTGACCACCTTTAAAGCGCTCCATGTCTTAGGGCCGGGGTACTTACGAGACCGCCTTCTGCCACCAATAGCCTCCCACCGGCCAGTACGCTCGCACAGAGTAGGCCTCCTCAGGGTGCCGTCCGCCAGACAATGTCGGCTGGCGACTCCCAGGGGGAGAGCCTTCTCTGTGGTGGCGCCCACCCTCTGGAACAACCTCCTCCCAGAGATACGTACAATAACAGACCTCCGGATTTTTCGTCGGGCCCTGAAAACCCATTTATTTCAACTAGCTGGGCTGGCTTGAGTTAAGTTTTAAATTGATTTTAAATTGGGTTGTTTTAATTTACGGCCAAAATATTTAATTATTTTAAACTGCTTTTAAATTTTGTATGTTCTGTTTTTTACTTTGGCTGTTCACCGCCCTGAGTCCTATTTGGAGAAGGGCGGTATAGAAATAGGAACAAATAAATAAATAAATAAATAAATATTAGTATGAATATATGAAATATAAGGTTGCAGGGCAAAGGACTTACCAGCTGCTGTGGAGAATTGAATATCACGCACACTCTGCCAGGCTGGAGTTGAACCACCTACACCCCATAAAGAAGAAACTGACTTCTTAGGCCATTGGACAGGCCACTGTAAAGACGAAATAACAGTAACATCGGCTCCAATATCAAGCAACCCTTGAAAAGGTTGCTTATTCAAATAGAGAGTTAACAAAGGACGAAAGGAAGTAACAGACTGAAGTAAAGCCACAGAAGGAGAGGTACAACCAAAACCAGCATCCCCACGTACCCCTGTGCCAGAACAAGGGACTTGATAGGGAAGCAAAAGTAATTGAACAACAGAGGATTGTTCACCCAAGCCTGAATAAAAAAACATTCCAGTGTAATCAGAATCAATAACACCAGGGACTACAAAGCATCCTTTTTTATGAGCTGAAGATCGAGGCAAGATAAGACCCACTAAACCAGAGGGAAGAGGGCCTTTAAATTGAGAAGGAATCAATTTAACCTCCAAAGGAAATTTAAATTCCACAGATTCCTGAGTTATTAGATCGATCCCAGCACTACCTGCTGTGGCTGGGACTGCAGAGGAAAGGCTGTGGGGAGGAGACATTACTAGGGGAAAGGCACTCTTTTGGCTCTGGGTGGGTGCCGCACCCATTGGCAAGTTTCCCGACCGAAAACGGCACTGATTAGCCCAATGAAATCCTTTTTTACAAATTGGGCATTTTTTAGAAGGGCGATTTTGAGAGGCTGCAGGAGTCGAGCAGTTCTAATTATCCTCTGAAGTCTGGGTCTGTCTTGTTGGGTTGCAGGACCAAACCAGTTATAGAAGTGCAGATGACACACTCAATAATTCCTTTTTAGAACTGTATCAGCAGTTCCTTGGGCTGTTTGAGCTTCCTGAGTTGACGCCGAAAGAACATTCTTTGGTGTGCTTTTTTGATGATGTTTTTGATGTCAGGTGAATAATGTTCAAACATTATTTACATCCAAAGTTCTTTGCCCACTGAATCATAAAATGCTGTACATAGTCATCCTCCATGTTCCACTACAGTTTATAAACCTTAAAAATAGCACTCCCTTGGAGTATCTTGACTTGATGGGCCTGGCAGGTCCTAAAATCTTGGGAGCCACAGAAAATCAGTTTTAAACTTTTGGGATGTAGAGAGGCGTTGATCTCTATCGAGAGTCACCCCCTAAGATAGCAAATTCTGTCAAAAAAAAAAAATTCTGTCAATTATTATTTCAGCTTCAAGCACAACAATATATGAGAAAATAAGAGATACAAATGCAAGGTAAACCGCTCCAAACTCAATTGCAGAAAATACGACTTCAGCAACAGAGTGGTCAATCCCTGGAATGCACTATTTGACTCTCTGGTTTCTTCCCCAAACCCCCAGAACTTTAACCTTAGACTGTCTACTGTTGACCTCACCCCATTCCTAAGAGATCTGTAAGGCCTAAGCGCACCATCGTCCCTGTCCTCATGTCCCTTTTTACTCTTATTCTTTTCATGTATTCCAATTATGTTTATGCTTTTATATGTTTTCTTATATATGCTTTACAAATAAAATAAAATAAAATAAAAATGTCATGAACTTTCAGGGCTCATAACTAATCTTCGTAAGCTTAGTGGTATCACATTTCACTCTTTTGTTTGGGTCAGTTGCCAGAAGTCAAAAATGACGGTAGCATTTAATCAGTGAAAACACATTGCAACCGCCTTAGATAAGAGAGGGGACAAGCGTGTTTTTCTGCCTGTCTGGAGATGGCGCTCAAACAGGCAACACCTGTGGCTAGAAAGCGGACAGTACAGCAGGCGGCGTCTGTGGTTGTGTATAAGGAGTTAACATCATCAAGTACTGCATTGCTAGAAAGGCTGGGAGGAGAGGAGACGCGCAGAGGAACTTCCTCTTCCGGATGACTGATGGGAGGAAGTTGGTGTGCAGAGCGGCTTTTGTGCTGTTTCCATGGTGGAAGCAGCAGCTGCCAGGGGAGTGGAGGGCAGCAGGTGGGAGGAGAGTCCGGGAGCAACTTGGGCTGGAAGCGGAGAAGCAACTGGGCTGAAGCCTCTCAGCTGCGGCTGCTGCAGGTTCCTTCCCTCCCCAAATGGAAGCCCACTGGTGCTGCAGGCTGGGAAACTGGGGGCTGCAATTTCTGCTGGTGGGAAGCTTGAAAAAGCCTCCTTCCAATGCAGGTTGAGCCTTTGGGGCTGGTTTCCCTCCAGAGGGAGCTCCGTCACTGGAGGTTTGGAAGAGAGCTGGAAGAAACCTTGGAGGTCTTAATGACGTCTCAGACAAATGGCTGTCCCGTCGGTTTAAAAGCCACCAGCAATGGAGCCCCCACAACCTCTGGAGGGAAGCCATTCCCGAAGAATCAACCTTCACTCAAAAGGGACTTTTTCAGTCTTCCAGGCAGCAGAAAATTGCAGCCATTCCCTTCCACTGGCTAATTGTTCTCACTGATGGGATTTTTCCTTAATTCCAGGTTTTTCTCTCTCCTTGATTAGTTTCCATGCATTGCTTCTTGTCTTGTCCTTCTGGTGCTTTGGAAAAGAAGTTGACCCTCCAAGTATTGGAACACTGCTATCATGTCACCCCTAGTCCTTCCTTTCACTAGGCGATTCATTCCCAATTACTGCAACCCACTAATTATCCCTTCTGCTCTTCTCTGCGCTCTTTATAGAGTCTGGATGCCTTTTTTATATTGTGGTGATGAAAAGTGGTTGCAGTAATCCAAGTGTGATCTTAATCAAAGCATTGGTACTAATACTTCATGTGATCTCGATTCTATCCCCCTGTTTAGGCAGCCAGAGTTTCTCAGGCTTCTTGAGTTGTTTTCCTGTTTAAGATTTTCATCCATGGAATCCTTCCCAAGCTGTCTCTTGGTTTGTTAAAATCAGCTGCTTTAAAGTCTAAGACATTAGTTTGATTTTGCTCTATTGCTTGTGTCTGCATTATATTGAATTCCAGTATGACATGGTCACTCTTTCCCCAAATTATCTGCAACTTCACCCCCCACCCCCTTATAATTTTCTCTCTGCTAGTAAAAGTTTAGATCACTATAGGAGATCCTTAGTTCCCTTTTCTACCTTTTGGATGACAAGTTGTCATCTAGATTCATGAGGAACCTTTTAAGACGGGTGTCAAGCTGGCGGCCCATGGGCTGGATGCGTGACATGCAGGCCACACCCACCCCAGCTCCATAAATGGGTAGAATGTCACAAAATGTCACATGACGGCAACATGACATGGCAAGTTTGACACTCGTGCTTTAAGACAAGATTGGCCAGCCATTTGTCTGGAATGTTATAGGGTATCCTGCCTGAGAAGGTGATTGGACTAGAGGACCTCCAAGGTCCCTTCCAACTCATAACCTATTCTGTTACGGGCTTGCTATTCTCTTGGTATTTCTACTGACCGTATTTTTCGGACTATAAGACGCACCTGACTATAAGACGCACCTAAATTTAGAAGAGGAAAACAATAAAAAAAGGTTTTGGCCTACCTTTTTTCGGGCCGTTTCCAGCCTTTTTTCGGTCTTTTTCTGGGGCTATTTTCAGCCCATTTTTGAGTGCTTTTTTCAGCTCGTCTTTGAGGCTTTTTTCGGCTTGTTTCTGGGGCTTTTTTCCCTGTTTTTGAGGCTCCCCCCTGTTTTTGAGGTTTTTGGGGGGCTGTTTTTGACGCTTTTTGGCCCGTTTGTGAGGTTTTTGGGGGTATTGAGGCTTTTTTTGGCCTGCTTTTGGGGGGCTGTTTTGACGCTTTTTTGGTCAATTTTTGAGGCTTTTGTGTCCCATTTTTGAGGCTTTTTTTGGCCTGTTTTTCTGAAAAAACGTTCCTGTGGTTATGAAGGTGCAGGAAAAGGAGAGACACCAACTTGGGTTCTGCCAACCGTTGCACATTTATGATGGCTGCAGCATCCCAAACTCAGGATCCCCGTTTGTGACCTTCTCAGCTAGATTCTGAAGCAAAATTAGTAGGGATGCCAGCAGGAAATTGCAAGTCGCAGTTTGTGGAACAGATGCAAGTTAGCACTGTCATGTGACATCATGCTTCATGACCGGCTGCTTAGTGACACAGAAGCCAGTCCCAATTGCACTCAGTAAGTCAGGATTGCTTGAATTGGGATGTCACCAGAAGGGGTTGTAGACAGCATTTTCTTCTCTTATTTGCAGCTGAGGACTTTCATGAGCAAAACTGGTGCTTCAAATCTTGCAGAGGCTTTTGGCATCATTTCCTCAGTTCAAACGCCACATCTCTAAATTTAGCTCAGAAGGTTTGACATTAACCATTTTGGGACATTTTGTCAAGCTGAAAACTCATGGAGCTTCCACATATATTCATTTGTAGGTGTTTGTATCTGTATTTCTTTCTATATGCATATATCTGCAATTATATAATATATCCTCAGTACATCCAGATATATTTGAGGATAACCCTTTGCAGTGCCAAGAATTTATGATTGACCCAAGTCAACAACATAATTTCATGGTTGAATAGATATCTTGGTACTCTTCCATGTGTCAAATGAATCATAATCAATGTAAGAGACTATTCTGGCATTGTGGCATGTTTGCTTTTTTGTTGTAATGTATATTTTTTTTTACATCTTCTGTAACCATTTTATACACAATTAAAGTTACACTTTTCTTTGAAACTTATAGACAAAGAGGATGGCAATAAGAGCACTCTGGACAACTGAGAATAACAAGCAACGTTGAAAAGGAAATAAAATTGAGCCAGAAATCAAAATATATTCCAGTTCCTTCAGAAAACCACACAATTCTCCTTCTCCAGCAGCTAATAGACAAAAGAGAGAAAATTAACATGAGATTTTGAGCTGGAAAAAGTAGAGGATACGAAACTCAAGGATACATTGCATGAAAGATCAAGGAAGAATATTTTTCATTCAGAAAAAGATGGAAATATCTGGAAGTTAGTGGGAAGGAAAAGGTCTTATTGGGCAGGGCACATACAGGCCTTGCTCTGGGAAGAAGCAAACGGCTTTAATCAAAACACTATTAAACAATAGATCACACATATTTTTGACCTCAAGAATATCAGTTGTGGAAAAGCTCCATAGATCTGCCTATTGTAGAAAAAGCACAGATTGCAAATCATAGCTGATTAAACAAGAAGATCCCAACTGGAGAAAAGCCATACAAATTATCTGAATATGCCAAAAAGTTTGGTCAGAACAGCTTCCTTGTGGTTCATGGAACGACTCACACAGGAGAGAAGCCATACGAGTGCTCCAGATGTGAATACTTTAGTGAGCACGGCAACATGGTGATAAATCACAGGACACCCATCACATAAGAGTGCCCAAATTGTGTGAAAGTTTCATTGGAAATTACCTCCTCATGAGACAACAAAGGACTCACACAGGAGAGAAACCCTTTCAATGCCCTATCTGTGGGAAAGGTTTCAGTCGCAATTCCAGCCTGCTGCCACACCAGAGGACTCACACAGGAGAGAAACCCTTTCAATGTCCTGAGTGTGGGAAAAGTTTCAGTCAGAATTCCAGCCTGATGAAACACCAGAGGACTCACACAAGAGAGAAACCCTTTCAATGCCCTATCTGTGGGAAAGGTTTTAGTCACAATTCCAGCCTGCTGCCACACCAGAGGACTCACACAGGAGAGAAACCCTTTCAATGTCCTGAGTGTGGGAAAAGTTTCAGTCAGAATTCCAGCCTGATGAAACACCAGAGGACTCACACAAGAGAGAAACCCTTTCAATGTCCTGATTGTGGGAAAAGGTTCAGTTACAATTACAGCCTGGTGACACACCAGAGGACTCATACAGGAGAGAAACCATTTGAATGTCCAGATTGTGGGAAACATTTCAGGCACCATTATGAGCTGGTGATACATCAGAGGACTCATACAGGAGAGAAACCTTTTGAATGTTCTGATTGTGGGAAAACTTTCAGTCACAATTCCAGTCTGGTGAAACACCAGAGGACTCATACAGGAGAGAAACCATTTGAATGTCCTGATTGTGGGAAAAGTTTCAGTTGCAATTACAGCCTGGTGATACACCAGAGGACTCACACAGGAGAGAAACCATTTGAATGTCCTGATTGTGGGAAAAGTTTCAGTCAAATTTCCATCCTGGTGACACACCAGAGGACTCACACAGGAGAGAAACCGTTTGAATGTCCTGATTGTGGGAAAAGTTTCAGTCGCAGTTCCAGCCTGGTGACACACCAGAGGACTCACACAGGAGAGAAACCATTTGAATGTCCTGATTGTGGGAAAAGTTTCAGTCACAATTCCAGTCTGTTGAAACACCAGAGGACTCACACAGGAGAGAAACCATTTGAATGTCCTGATTGTGGGAAAAGTTTCAGTCGCAGTTCCAGCCTGGTGACACACCAGAGGACTCACACAGGAGAGAAACCATTTGAATGTCCTGATTGTGGGAAAACTTTCAGTCACAATTCCAGCCTAGTGAAACATCGGAACACTCACACAGGAGTGAAACCATATGAGTGCCCAGACTGTGGGAAAGATTTCAGTACTAAGACTAGCCTTTTGAATCATGTGCTTATACACACGGGAGAAACCATTTAATTGCCCCAAGAGTGGACGGTGCTTCAGGAAACATTCCACCCTTATTGCACACAAGAAAATGTGCATGGATTTTCCAAAGTGATGAGTGATGACCTAAAGCAGTGGTTCCCAAAGTGGGCGGTACCAAAGTGGGGGGCGGTGGGATGACTTAGGGGGGCAGTAAGAGGCATGGGGGGCGGGTGGCAGGAGGGCGGGTGGCAGGAGGGCGCTAAGTGGCAAGGAGGGTGGCGGAGGTTGCCCCCACCCTTTGGCCTGTGCCTCGCAGCAGTTACCTCCTTGCAAGCAAACAGCAAGAAAAAACAGCTCCTTTCAGCTTCAGCATAGGCTAATAACAGACGTTGATTAGATTGCCCTCCTGACTCTCTCAGCTGTTTTGCACAGGGCTCTGCAGCTTGCTGGAAAGAGTGTTGGAGCAGATTTTTTTTTCTCTTGCGCTAATCAAGCTATGCTGAAAATGAAACTGAAAGTAAAGCAGGCTGTTTGCTGTTTGCTGCAAGGAAAAATGAGGCAGAGGCAGAGGGAGATTTCTTTTTCTTCTTTTTCCTCACTAAAAAAGGTAGGTGCAAACCATGGGAAATTTAGGGCAAAAGAGGAGAGGTCAAGATTTTAAAACACAAAAGGAAATAGAAAAAGGCAAAAATAAAAATGGGAAGTGAGAAAAAGAAAAATGAAAGAGAAAGATGTATACATATTTAGAATTGAAATATGAATAGTAAGAAATAAATGGGAAATCATGATTGTAAAAATGAAATGAATAATAATTGGAATATTTGTCTTTGTATTTTTGAAATCTAGACAATGATAAGTTTTTCTTTTTTTTAGAAATATGAATAAGTATAAACTGTAACAATTGAAATACCTTTAATGGTCTATGGCGGTGAAAGTAAAAAGGATTAAGTTGTAGCTTGGGTAACATTGTTCTATTTTTCATTTAACAGCATTTTCACATATAATTTCTACAACTAGCATCCTTCTCTTTATTAACAAATTAACGTTTTCACTGACTCTTAACCATTTTCTCTTAGTTTCTCCACAGTTCTCTTTCTTTTTTTTTATTGAAAAGTTTTACAAAAAGTTTACATATTTCCCCCCCCCTCTTCCCTGCCCCAACCTCCCCCCTCCCCCCTCCTCTTCCCAGAACAAATTACCTGGTATAACCTTCAACAATCATGATCAATCCTAATCTAAATACTTATAACATTCCACATCTCTTGTTCCTTCAATTCCCTAATTACCCCCCTAACTTGATTACTTAAAGACACACCAAATATCTATATAGTCATTCATAACCTATCTGCAATTTCTTATTCCGGTATTTATTTTGAATATAATCTATCCATCTTCTCCAGTCTCTTAAATATCTTTCATTTGAATGATCCTTCAAGTATGCCGAGATTTTTGCCATTTCCGCTAGGTTTGTAACTTTCATTGTCCACTCTTGGATTGTAGGTAAATCTTGCTTCTTCCAATATTGTGCCACCAACAGTCTTGCTGCAGTTACTAAATTCAAAATCAATTTAGTCTCTATAACTGTACAGTCCGTAACTATACCCCACAGTTCTCTTTCTTGATGTTTTTCTCTCTTTCTCCCATTTCTTTACCTTCTTTTTCCTGTTCTTATATCTCCCCTTCAGTGTTTTCCCTTTAATTTTAACTCTATTACTTTTCATTCTCAATCTTACCCCATTTCTTTCTCTTTTCTTCATATTTGAGATGTATTTTCCCATATCCATTTTTATTCTATCACTATTGAACCCAGTGTAATCATCTATCTTTTTTTCCCAATTATTTCCTTTTCAATATTAGTGTCTCATATTCATCCTCCCAATTCTCCATATTTTCAATTTTAAAAGGCTAGGATTTTTAAGCTTATTCTTTTCATTTCCATATGTGGGGGAGGGATGCTTTTCAAGGAGCCACAAGGGGGGCTGAGAGAAGAGTCATTCTGACAGTGTCTTTTAAAATTGCTTGGAAGACCCATTTTTCCCTAACAATAATGGTTTGTATACTTTGGAATAAAACATATCCCTGGAAAAAGTACTTGCAAAACTTGAACAGAAGGAAAAGGAAGGCAGGACTGGACTCATTATCAGTGGCTAGTAGTTCATTGTTATCAGTGACTCCCACTGATTCTAAACTCATTTTAAGACTGGGATTGGTGACTACTGAAATATTCAACATTGGTCTCAGAAATCTTTGATTTGAACTATAAAATCTCTGATTTGAACTATCAAATCTTTGATTTGAACTTTGATTTGAACTATCAAATCTTTGATTTAAGCTCTGATTTGAACTATGCCAAGAAAAATCATAAAATGGGGCTAAACTCACTTAACCATAATAATTTCTAGATATTTTAAGTGTAGAGAATTCAAGTGTTGAGAATGACCCATTATTTCATCTCTTTTTGCGCACTAGGTACCACTATTTGATATCTTTTCCTTTTATTCAAATAACAACAGAAAACCCAATACAGTTCAGTATGAATTGGCTTTCCAGTCCTTCCTTGATGCACTTTTTCACATTGGTTATCTAATTTAAATGCCAAAGGAAAATCAATGATATATTTTTCAGACCTTTGGAGGATCAACTGTCAATTGTTCACACTGCTCAAGCAAAATTAACAGGTGTGAATTAAGTTTTAGCTAAAAAATGGAGCTTTAATTCCAGAAGTCCATTCTTTAAACTTGGACTTCTGGAATTCAAAGGCTCTGGATTAAATGGTACTCCAGACAAAAGATGGAGAAGAGTATCTTGCTTTTAGACATGATAATAGCTGTCTAGAAAGGTGAGTTATGAGCTATTTTTACATCATCAGAAATTTAATTTATTACCTGTTAAAAATGCAAAGACAAGGAGTACAAGGAGCAAATAAAAGACCTTCATGTTGGGGTTGGTTCTGGACCAAATCTTACTTGTGGGACAGAAACCAGCTCTCAGCCCTCCTTGTGACTTCTTGAAAAGCATCCCCCCCCCACACACGCTCCACCGCCTGAGGAGGCAGGGGAGGGCTGCAGGTTGATCCCAAGGCGGTCTGGGAATGGGTGTGAATTCATCCCACAGCCCTCTCCATCCCCTCCTCTGTGAAATTGCTTTCTCCCACTCGCTGGTGGTCAGCAAATTCAAAAGGAACCCCCAGCTGAGAATCACTGCTCTAGATCGGTTGATTCAGGGGATTTCTCTAGCGTTAACTAATAGTGTTAGCTATCTTTGTTTCAGGGATAAATTTGTATTGGAGCAGCCTGCAGACCTCCCAAAGGCTCTGAGCACCCTGTTTTTGCAAAAAAACGGGCCAGTTTTTCAGAAAAACAGGACATGCGGGGCAAGGCTTCAGGAGGCCAAAAATGTCTGTATTCCGTGTATTTTATTGTTACTATCTTCCTTAGTGGGTCATGCAATCCGCTATTCCGAACAATGCTATTTATAGGGGGTCGGGGTGGGGGCAGTGGTGGGCAGTAAAACTGGCAGGAGTCCCCGCCCACCAACCCCGACATCACCAAAACGCTTCTGTGCATGTGCAGAAGAGTGCGTGCATGCGTGAGCGAAGTGAGCATTCGAGGCCCCACTGCAAACCGGTAGTAAAGGTAAGTAGAACCCACCCCTGGGTGGGGGGAACTGAGGGTGAGTTTGTAGTACCAAGGGGGCGGTGGACTGAAAAAGTTTGGGAACCTCTGACCTAAAGTGATGAGTGAAAAGGCTTGAATTTTAAGTCCAGCTGAGAAATTAACTTCAATTTGACCAGAAAGAATTCGCTTGATAGAAATGCCACATGCATAGAACCAGCCTTTCTCTCCCTGGGTATCCTCGAGATTTTCCACCCCAGAATTTCCCAGGCAGCATCTCTTCGGGATAAGAGCACTCAGGCTATAGTTAAGAGGTTGTGAGTCCTCATGGAAGGAGAAAACAAGAGGGAAGAGAAATAGTTTATCTTTTCCTAACAATTCATTGCACCAAGCATGTCTGCTCTGGTGGTGACTGAGGCACGCAAGTGGGAGAAACCATAAGAATATCAAATATATTGGGGGACTTTGGGGCAGTGACAAAAGCAGTGTAAAATTTCAGATGCAAAGGCTACTCTGCCTTGCATGTGACCTTCATGGAGAAGAGCTGTAGGAATATTGAGTTGAGGAAAGTGATTGTGTTTTTGAGTACAGGATCTCCAGGTTCATTCGCAACTCCTGTTGTGATCTCCTTCGCTTGGAGGTTCCTCCTTTGTTAGTCTTTGATGGCTGGGAGGTGTGAGCAGAACCAAGGGATTGATACTTTGGTGGTTCCCCCCTTGGTAGGGAAATCTGAGGAAAAAAATTGTACAGTAGATGTTTCATTTCTAAAACAGCATTGCATAAGACTCGTGAATAGATTTGGGGGGGGGGAAGGAAAGTGTCAGCATTTCTGTAAACATTGGGACAATGTAATGCAATGCTCTCTTCCCAACACATGGAAGATCTTTCCTGTTCTTTCACTTCTCTCCCAGGACTCCTTAATTTGTTTAAAAAATTCCTTCAATTAAAGAGGAACATTATTTGTAGCAGTGAAAGTGGTATTTTAGCTATGCAGATGGATTATCCTGATTTTGCTGGGATTGGAAGACACCAAAAATTCCAAGATCATTCATTTCACCCACAAGATTCAAAAAGACAGGTTACAATGTTTTTTAGTAGGTCACATTGCATCTGATCCCTTTGAAGGATACTCGGTGACCAGGAGTAGATCAGGACTAGCATGTGGAGAAACCAAGATGTAACTCAATGGTCTGTCTGGATAATCACTGGGGACCTACCATGACTGAGAATAGCATACGATAGGATAGGATTGAATGGAAATGAATTCTTTACTGGCCAAGTGTGATTGGACACAAGGAATTTGTCTTTGGTGCATATGCTCTCACTGTTGATAAAAAGACAAGATACATTTGTCAAGAATCATAAGGTAAAACACTTAATGATAGTCATAGGGTACAAATAAGTAAATCATAATAGGAAACAATATAAATTGTAAGGATACAAGCAACAAAGTAACAGTCATACACGGTGGATTTGATTTAAATCGAGTCGATTTAAATCATGATTTATATCATGATTTAAATCACTAGTAAAAAGACTTGATTTAAATCAACTCGATTTAAATCATAATTT